GGGAAATGGGAAAATGGGGAACCGAAAACTGGGGGGGGGAGTATTCAGTCATGTGCAGTCAGTCATGGACGGTCAGCATTCCAGGGAGGAAGGGGGCAGTCTTCGAAAGAGGTAAACAATCATTTTGCAGGTCGGACAGAAGTTTCGATGCGGTAGGGACGTGGAGAACTTCGAACTCGTTCAGGTAGAAATCACACCTCTTCGCGGAAGTGGGTTCGAATACCACCGAGGCCAACGAGTTTTTAACAAGTGGGTCAATTGAAAAATAGATATGTTCAAAATGTCAGCTTCCGCTGATACTTTGGAAGTGAGTATTCGCTATAAGTAAAAATAACAAAAAACACCTTATATACAAAATCGGGAGTCTCAATATCTCACATACATGAACAAACTGAATAATGTGTTACACATTATCTTACCATTATATTTGCCGAGTTATTTAATCACCCTTTTGTCAAAGTACTTATTGAGGAATCACGAAAAGACATTAAGACTAGATAACTGTGACGTTTTAGTTTCATACACAGCCAATTTAACTATCGCTGCGTTAGTAAAACAAGCATACTTTCACACTCTGAACAGATGTGTTGACTGTCTGAAAACGGACTCATGTAATGGCGATTGTTCATTACGTGGGACGAGTCGTCTTATAAAGCGCAGACGCGTCACTCTATTCGAATTACTCTTCGTTCGGTCAGATTACTCTGAATTAGGAATTCAGGTTCTTGATGTGATTTATCGAACTGCCTCCCGTCTATCGGGCGTTGAGATTTCGTGGCAAGCGGTTCGGCCGCATTTTCGATCAGGATGCCATTGCTACTAATTACTTTCAGCTGCTTAATTGTTGCCCTGAAGCTGGGTCCCTGTCAATGCCAAGGAAACGATGTTTCTGACCACGACTTGCCCTTATAAAACGACCAAGTTTACTTCCCTTAAAACACCCGTTTTAAGCTATGATGTACCCCAGAATTCCCGAATTGGGATGCATTATGTTTTGCTTAGCTTAACTGGATAGATTCGGAAGACTTTTAGCCAACATGTTTTATTATGTTCCTCTCCGAGGAAAGGACACTGTTAAAATGTTTTGGCCAGGTGCATCTTGGAGCTTTTTGATTGTTTTAAAAAATATTTTATATTGTGAGGTTCACAAGTGAACAAGTCAGAGTTAAAATATGCACTAGATTTCCTTAGACTACCATGGGGAAGTTAAAATACTGTTTACTTTTTCAGTGGGTTGTACGGTCATGACCGCGCCCACAATTATCGGACCCAATAAAAAAGAATGTTTACAAGGGCATTAGTTACACTCATAGCTCATTTTTCTGCCACGTTTATCTTTTCAACTTTTAAAAAACATAAGGTCACCCTTGATAACACAATTGTCTATAAACACGCCCGATTTTCTGCCAAGTGGTGTGGTAAAAACAGATGTTTGGTTGTCCCGGGATGAAATATTTAGTCCGCTGTTCTAGCAGCGCATGGAACATCTCCCCCATTTACAGTTGATATATTTCGTGTACATAAAAAATGGTCGACATATTTAAGTTGTTATTGTCATGCGTTTATCAGTTGGAACAAAGGAATTTTGCCTTGAGTGAAGTTGTTATTGTTCAAACTGCGCAGGTAACGTTGTTCACTGCAAACATGGACACCAAGTCAACAGATTACAATGTTACAACCAGGTGGTATAGAGGAAAACGTGGTAGAGGCC